AACTAGAGTTTTAATATTTGTAATGTTAAAACTAATTTTTCGTAATTACTTATGAGATAAAATAAAATCGATTTTCTTTTTATTCAAGTGTTATTAAATTGTATTTCCATATAAATTTGATAAAGTTAAAAATACGAGAGATTACTATTCGATTTAAATGAGAATTTCAAAGCATTATGTTATGTTTATGAAGATTAAAATGATATCAATCAATAATTAGTTAAATTAATTGTACAAATAAAATGTATTATTTTCAGAAACACTATAGTTCGGTTACACAATTGGACGTATTGATTTTTTGATGGGTTAAAAAAAAACAAGTCCATGACACGTACTTGAGTTGTTGAAAACTTCTATGGGTATTTTATTGTATTTGTAGCTAAGTAAGTGACCTGGGTACCCCCTTCTTAACCTTTATAACCAATTAACTAATCCAATGTTTACTTAATTGCTTCAATTTGAAACTTTAAATTCGTTTAACCAATCTTAGTAATACACGGTTGATTTCAATTCGAAGACCGCAAAGTATTTACATCGTGTACGCTAATAATGAACTCACAAATGTATACGCATATAAATAAGTTTAAATTATTAGTTATTATCGTGACGAAGTTTAGACGTGAACATGATGGAACAAATCGTCATCACAGTATGCCAAAGATCTTGTTTTTTTTTTTTTTAATGTATATTCAAGAAACATAATGATATAAATATATTTATAAATATTATAAAAATAATCCAAATGCAATTAACATACTATTTTTAGTACTTATTATAATATGAAGAACTAAATACGCAATTATTTATATTTATGACAAATTGTTTTAAATAATTGTAATTATAATAATAAACAATAAAATAAATTTAAACAAATGTTATGAATTTAAAAATAAACATTCGTGTAAATATGAATAATAATAATAATTTATTTTTTAACACTTCGTAAATGAAAAATAAATGATCTGTTTCCGTAATCGTTAGTATTAGAAATAAATAAAATAGCTTATATACATTACACTTTAAATAAATATTACCAAAATTATCTTGGTACAAAAATCGTTTTTATATACCAATATACCATATTGCCAATATCTGACTGGTGATAAGATGAAAATAGACAGATGCATAAACATTTAGTTATACTAAAGTTCTAAATAAGTACATCCAGTGGCGAATCTAGAAATCTAAAATAGGGGAGGACTAAATTTTCTCAGAAAATATAATTATAGTTCATGATAGCTGGTTATAGATAAGATTTGATGAAAATATTTACATTTTTTTTAAGTTTTGCCTAGAACACGTCTAGGTCCCTTAAAGTAAATATTAAAAACATTTTTTAAACCAGCTATCATACATTAAAAAGTAAAGGTAGATTTAAATTATTTCACAGCTAATTTATGCAATAATCAGGTAACTAAATATAGAAAATTTATTCAATATTCATTGGTAGCTAATAGAATATATTATTATATAATTGTATGTGTTATAGAAATATTAAGCAGCGGTCATATGGGAATCAATGTATATACTTATGTACCGTGAAACCAATTCAACCAACCGACTATATGCTAAGTCAAAATGCTATCAAATTAAATCAAGTTATTATATTGTGTAATTTTAAATAGTCACGAGATATAAACAATGCGATTATTAAGGTGACGTCAACGTAAAATGTGTTTTTATCTATTTTTATATCTATCGATTATTACACACTTATATTATAGCAAGACCAATGATCAGCTTTCTTAAAATATTGTTGCTAACTACTTAAATTGATAATGATATATTACAAAAAAAATTACTAATGCAATATAAACATAAATGTGAGGGGGGGGGTAATCAATATTTAAATTATTAAAAAAATTGCTCGCATCTAAAACCTATAAGTAATGGTATATTAGAATATTAATTATTTGTCAATTCCAATGAGTATTATTATGATAAATATATAAAAATTAAACGTGCTTATACATAAATCACCTACTTAACACTTCCTTAGTAAATTTTAAAATATACATAATATATATACCTTTATTCATTTAATATAATTTATGTTTACCTAATTTAAAAGTTTGGGGCTACAGACAATAAATACGAAAATCTGTGATTCTGATATAGTTGTAGTAATAAGTAAATTATTAATTTACAAAATTATGTACATCATAAGTAAATAAATATTATTTGACTATAACGCTTTATTGCAATAAATAGAATTTTAAATACAGTTAACATATAAATAAACTGAATATACACTTTATATAGATTTAAAATGATACATTAAAATTGACGAAGTTTATAAGTCAAAGCCTAAGATACATTATAAATTATTGTGATGGTATAAGAATGAAAAAGAGTGTGTATTTAACATTTTGATTTTTAGAAATCGATTATTTCTTTTCATAATTACCTATTCAGATGTTAAGGGAGTTTTTATTAAAAATTAAAATATTCATCAATTTAAACTGTCAAAAAAAAAAAAAATAATAATAAAAATATGCAATGTTTTTTTTACTTTGTAAAGCTAAAATAATACGAAAGAACACTCGCAGAATAATAGAAAAATATAATTCTGTTTAAGAATTGATATAGGGGACATACTTGTTTTTTGAAAAAATGTTATATCTGAACCGTCAAAACTCTTCACACAAGTTGAACTTGTACGCCGTTCAGAAGAAAACAATTTCAAGTGGGGTGGGCTTAAGTTTTTTAAATTTTTACATTATTCTGTAAAATATTACACTGTAAATTATTATTTGTGTTGCATTTTTTTTTTTTTTTTATTGATAGGTGCGATATTATAATTAATTTACAATTTAGGCCTTGCGACGCCTTAAATACATAAACTATTCAATTTTTATCTTAAAGAACTGAAATATATATATATGTGTAAAAATCAAACAAGTACGTTCAACATAAAATAATATTATAAATTATTGTAAAATCATCAACGTTTTTTGCAGTTCGTCTAAGAAGGTATATAATATTGAACATAGGAAGGATAAACCTATTGACTGTTATCTATTAAAACTACGTGCTACATCAGTGACGTGCGAGTATATTTATCCCGTTCGCGCTTATTTCCAATTTACACGACCTTCTTTCTAAACGTACACTTGTTCTTCGTGTTTCTCTTTTACGGCCATTGAAATATCTCGGTATGTGCACACACACAACTGTCCCCAACAAACTAACACGTTCAACTACAAATTTATAATTCCGCAATGTCAGCGCGATGTGAGAAAATTTACATTTTTACTTCAGACTCTTTTCTGACCTAATTAATATCAAAATCAATACTTAATATATGCGTATGTATAGAAGCATATTTTACATCTCAAAACTGTATTATTTTATAAAAATTCAAATACCTATCCTTTCTATGGGAACGACGGTGTAAACGTTGGGTTAGAAGTTAGAATATAACGATATCGAATTATCGATAAAAAAATATACATAACATTACATTGACTATATTATTACATTATTTTTATAATTCATAAACACACTGATAAAGAAGTAAATATTAAATAATTCTGAATTCATTAAGTTATTACGTGTACATTAGGTATTAAATTGTAATATTATTTAAAATTTAAAATATTAGGTTGATTAAATATTGAAAATTACGACAATGACGACTAATCAATACAGTAATAAAATATGTACTGTAACCGTAAAAAATTAACAATAATTATTAATTTTAAAATTGTATTGTATGATTTAAAATAATATTAAATAAACGGTATCATCGTATATTGTATATCATACAATTAAATAATAATAAGTGGTTAGCGGAGATATTTGGCAACATCGAGGCATAGGGGGCGATGGAACCGGAGAAATCAATGAAAAATGTACAAAAAATGGATTTATCGAATTCCACCGCCGTCGCTCCTCTACCGAACCGAGAACAATTACAAAAGAGTTGAAATCAATCAACTGATAGAAGTAAAGAAGTCAGCACCCAAGGTACGATGTGTAACCTACCTACGCATATTACTGTAGGTACCTACAGACGGACGGGAAAAAAACCCGTGATAACGCATTTCCAGGGCGAATGCGGCGGTAACCTTCCCCACTCCGGTATATGGCTCGGGCGTGCTTATTATACTATGCGCTCGCCCGCCGCCGCGAATTTTTCTAATCTACAGGAAAACTTATTAGAACCGTTTATAAGTACGCATGCTTGCGTTACACGGCCGCCGTGACGTAATTATTGTTTTCGTTGCGAATGCAAATAATGAATTAACGCGCGCGTTACTTCCACACACATCACGGGCGTGCGGCGATACGATTTTAACTGCCTACTATTATTTATTTATTTTTTTTGTGATCTCTCTGCGTTTTCGATCGTGCGATCATCCTTTTAATATTTTGAAATTTAATAGGTACGTGCGAATTATTGTCACCCGTTCGCGAGAGCGGTCCACCTGATTTTGCCGAGAATTGGTGGAATGAGGGGGGGGACACGAGGAGTGGGGTCTCGGTTTTGCAGTTGGAGGAGGAGGAAGTGGTGTCACGCCGACGATGACGGCGGAAAGAAGCTCAATACATGATTATTATAACAGCAGCTGGTGTAGGCTACACCGTTCCGTTATCAGAGCGAGTCTTAGGTCCAACTATTTCGTGATATAATAATTAGGTACACAAGAGATGATAAGTGAGGAGAATATTGTTATGAAATAATAACAACAACAACAATAATAATAATAGTAATAAAGTGATAATGCGAAAAACGAGTCGACCGGCGGCACCTAAACGCCGATATTCAAAGTTTAATAAACAGACACCCAGGCGAGGGTGGCAGTAGTAATAAAAAACAATAAAAAATAAATAAAAAGCGATCGTTAAAACGAGAACGAAATGTACGGCAAAAATGCGAATGACGAAAAAGCAATAATATGATTATGGGTTATGACTGTTATGAGCATAATTATTATTACAATCATTGCGCTATGATGTCGTTATGTTGGCGTATTAGCATTCATCGGGCAACTCACTTTTTATAACCCGCTCGGTGGTCGGCAGCTTCTGGCTGTTGTTCGACATTGTTGGACTGACGCGATCCTCGCTCGCCACGATGTATTGCTACGCCGCCGGTACTGCTGGTGCTGGTTTGTTCAACGCTCGTCGTCTTCCACACGTTACCCGGTCGTCGTTTTCTGCCTGGTGTGTCGCGTCCACGGGTCACCGTCACGCCGCGTGCAGCATTAAACGCGAGTTTAATTTTTTTTTTTTTTATCTATTTACGGCCATGAAAATAGAACAGAAAAAAATATATAAAAATAAAAAACACGACCACAACAACAATTTATTTTTTAGTACCAATGCAATAATATTTTAAAGAAATGAAATAGGCACAAGAAAATTACGCCGAGAGAAACTGTATAATATTAGGTGTATTATGTGTGTATGCGTTGTTGATAATAAACGATATACCGTACAGAAATAATGGATGGGTGGGGTGTAAAGCGAAGGGTGGATGAGGGTGGATGGAAAAAGAGTGTAATATATTATAATATTATACGTGAAACAACGTAAAAAGATAAAATAAAAATGTTGGGGTAAAACTGAAATATAATGATTGCACGCACCGGCCGATTTCTCTCTCTTTTTAATTTAAGGTTCACGTATCGTCCGTCGCTGGCGGGCCGTCAAGTCGCGGGTACCGGATGATTCGTCGTAGGGCCTACTACTGCTGCGACGGCCACAGCAGCAACAGCAGCGGCGACGACGACGACGACGGCGGTGGCGGCGGCGGCAGCAGCAAGCGCGCGCGACGCGGCGGCGGCGACGTCGGACGATTTCTTTTTTCGGGCAACTATTGTACGCATACGGATGATGATGATGATGATGATGACGACGACGACGACGACGATGATGAACTGACGGCCAGTGCGCGCTCCGTGACGATGGCCATCGTCGACATTAACCGGCGAGCTTACACTGTTCGACGACGACGCGTACCGCGTAAAAACAATATTAATATTATTATTTACGATAATATATAATATTATTATAAAGTTAACGCCCGCTGCCTAGTGTGTTTCGTACGACAATCGTATTTAATATAATATTATGTTATGTATGGACGCGAAGCGCACAACACTGCGGCGTTGTCACCGTCGTTACTCTATTATAATATAATATTATAATTTTTACTCGATTATATTTGTTATTATTTTACTATGCGTATCTCGATATTTTATTATTATTATTATTATAATATATCGTCACGCATAAGTATGCACGCACACGCACCACAGTTGAGGGCAAACGAATGCGAGACTCGGTGTTTGGCGTGTGTGTGCGTGTGTGAGGAACCTAGCGGCCGCGGGAGCGAGAGAGAAATAGGCGAACATTGACCGGCGGGGCGGGCGAGGGGCGAAAGTGAATGGATATATGATAAAAACACCGCCTCCGCCGTCCATCCACTCCACGGCGCAACTCCGCACCACGCCCGCCCCTAATTCGACCGACCGCCGCCGACCCGACAGCCGCCACCGCCGCGCGCGCCAGGGCTTGTTATAAAATCGTTATGGCAGCGATGTGCGCTTGCGTATCGCGCTTGCGCCGCGCCAGCGCCCTCTAGTCGGCCCCGGTCACGAACAGCACCAGCGTTCTCGACTGTCGTCGGAATCCACGCGCGCGCACGGTCAGGCCGCCGCCGCCGCCGTGCTGCTCGAACGCTGTTGTCGCCTCGTCGGGACGGTTCGAAACAAAAATCGTTCTCTCCCGAAACCCCGCCGCGGACTGCACCGCGTGACCGATGTAATATTATTATTGGTGTACCTACGCGTCTCTCCCGCTCGTCGAGAATAACTAATACGGCGCGTTCGGTTTTATTTTTTTTTAATTTATCGTCACACCTAAATAATTTGATAACCAGCTGCCGTGTTACGGCCTGCTATATACATGCGCAACATCAATATTTTATATCCGTTATAATATTATAAGTGCAGCGCGTTTCAGAGGTTCGGCGTGCGCTAACCTCGTCGAAAAATGTCGAATAACTTTCCAACACCCGGCCGCAATTGTGATCCTTTGTTGTTTATAATATTATGCTTCGAATCTAAAAATTACAATTTTCCATTTTTGTTACACCTATATCTTCTTTCTCTGTACACACGTTTTTATCAACGTAAAAATTGGTCGTGTGCGACACGGTTGATAATAATGATAAAAAATGGTTATTGTTATTGTACTTAATTGAAATACTCAATATTATTATACGCGGGGGAACCTAGGGCAATACAAAACGCCTTATACGTAACTCCTTGTCCTTTAAACTATAATTTATTTTTAAAATAAGTAGGTACCTACTAAAAGACGCAAGAGTGGTCTAATCCTCTAAAATTTAACTGCACCGCGTTGTTCGAAATAGTTAAATTAGTATAAAAGCAAGATCGACCTATTTAATTTGTTTTTTTTTCTTCAAAATAGCAGCATTTCTTTTTGCATTCTGTATAATGTAAAAATTACCTCTTCTGTATAATGCAAAAATTACCTCTTCGACATAAACTGAAATTTTAATTAAAATAAACAATACTAATAAAATTAAGAATTTTCACATTGAAACTATATAATTCGTTTTAATAAAATCTTTAAAGCTAAATGATATAGTTGAATGAATTAGACCGTTTTTGCGCTCAACGTCTAAAATGTAGCTCTCGATTTATACATTGAAATTTATTCAACGTTTAAAATTCGTAATATATATTATTTCATTTCACTGTTTATTATTTCATTTTAAAAGATTAAAATAACATCATTTTTATAAAACGAAAAAAATAGTGACATCTAATAGTCTTCGGGAAATACATTCCTATCATATTTTTCTAATATCTGAGAAACACCCGTATATCCTACAGACCAATAGTTATATATCCCACATGACCTTGTCTCATTACTCGCCCCACGTAGGTCGTATACTAATTATTTTCAATTGAACATACACAATTGTTTACTTCGTACTTTTTTAATAATATTACATAGAACCTAACTACAAACAGTAGTATATGAATAAATAAGTAGAGTATTCATTAATAATTAAATAATTATTATTCTTTTTGTTTTTATTTCTAAAATATATTTACAACCTGTTCGTAGGAAAAATATGTAAGTTTGATCAAGAGTAATTTATGTACCTATACATGAATGGCTTAATAGAAGAAGCCACCTTATCGACAGCACTAGCCACATTAATACCAAGTTTAGATTATTAGTTTTTAAGTTATAGGTACATGATACATCTATCAGGTCACGACACAATTTGAGTTTTAGACGTCTTGAGGGATTACCGAGAATCGTAGGGACTACTAAATATTGTACAAGTGGGTTCGGGTAATGGTTTAGTTATATTATTCGTAACTTGGAAATTTAAATAATTTACACATTTTCTCAAAATTATTCATTCAAACGAAAATTGAAAAACTCATAATTCATATCGATCCGGTTATCATTAATTTATTACTTTTTTTGGTATAAATAATCATCTAACTTCATTCCATAAAGTATTCCAAAAACATTATATTAATATTATTATCACTCAATCATTAACTGAATTAATCCAGTTATATTTCATCTTACCTCATGTCTCCCAAGTTCCATCTACGATATCATTATTATTTTTATATTAATTCAACGTAAATGGGTGTATCAATGATAAAAGTGTAATAATTCTGTGGCGAGACAAATAAGTTTCCAATAAAGTTCTCTAATAAGTTTTCGTCTGTAATAATTAGCAAAAAGTTTTCAAGAGCTATATGAATTATTCAAAAAAGGGGTTTTGCTAATGATGGGACCAGTATAAGATTACAATAATGTCAATCACATTTCTTTTAATTGCTATATATATCAATAGCGTTTATTCAACTATATTCACAGTGCTGTAAAAAAACTATAATCATCAAAGTAAGTCTCTGTCCACTTAATTTTTTTGTAAGTATAATTTAGTTATTTATTATATTCCTGTACAATGAGACAGTTAAAAAAATATATATTAAGTATAAATACATGATATGTAGCTAGTGTATTATTTAAGGGGCCATGGTGGTGGATGGAGGCTATTTGCATCATTATACATTCGACTTCATATATTATAAAACTATAAACTATAACTATGCCCGTATAATTTACAAAGAACATAATGATTATGCGATAGGTAAAATTTAATTAGTAGCATAAATTTATTTAGTATTATATTATTGGAATAAATATAGATAAAACTAAAAGTGAAATTAGAAGATGTTGTGTTATTGTGCCAAACTCCCATTATAACACTTAAATATTGTCAAAATAAAATAAACATTTACCTAAAGTTGCAGTGTTACACAATTAAAACAATTAAAAAAATCTAACTGAGTATTCATTTTTCTTTTATGATAGTAGTACAATGATTTTTATATCAAGGATTTTATGTAATACAAATATAATAACAACTATATATATAGGCCAGATTTATGTATGTGTAACATCCACATAGTGAAATTGCTCATTTTGTGAACTCGATTTCGAGATACTGAAATTGGTCTAGATCGTGAATTTTTATGAAAATACATTATATGTTAAATGGACATTATGGACATTAATTTCATAAAATTTACAATAATTACGAACATATTGTACACTTTGTGTAATTATTTCAAGTTATTTAACAATAAAATATATTATATTATATTTTATATTTAATAAACCATATTAAATAAATAAGATAGATAAAAATATATGATAATAATTAATGTTGATAATAAAAAATTAATTTTAAGTAATAAATTATACATTTTTATTTATTTTATTATTATTTTTTTTTTTGCACAACGAATAATTATGACATCGGTTGTTACATAGCATGATATTTTTAAAACATGCATACCTACTTAATCGACAAAGAGTTTTTTCCTAATACGTATAACCTCCCTAAATTTTTTTTTATTATTTCGCCCATTGAAAATTCTAAATATTTATCAATGGTAACAAATTGAATTGTTGATTTTTTCAAACATTTATAACTGAACCATCCTTTAAGTAATTCATCTTTAGTTTCAAGTTTCAAATTTATACAATCCTTTTTGTTTCGTGATCACATAAATTATGCTTCTGTAAGGTCCCTTATCAAAAAAATCTTTGCTCTATTTATCAATGATGATATAGGGACGATTCGCATTGTAAGGTTACATAGAAACTGACACGTATTTGTGGTGATAACACGTAAGACTAGTGACTTTCTTATGTATCATCAGA